GACCACGGTGGTTTTATGTTGGTGGCGGCCTTAGGGTGCGCCCATTTGAACTGTGATACATCTTTGTAATAATAATATCCATCTAATTTGACGTGGCAAAGAATTAAATCGCAAGGGTATATTATGGGAAAATCATGCTAACAAACCCTCACCCTTTTGATCGCTTAGCAACCTGGAGTTATTAATCGAAGCTAGAAGCAAAGATGTACTTGGTTTTCTACAAGTGTCAAGTTCAGTATTGAACGTGGTTTGCGTTTTATCAAGTTTCATTTATGCGTGTTCTAAATTTTATTCAAATTTCTTATTTCCGTCAATTGCTTTAGTAGCTATGTACAACCAAGCAGGCAAAGCTAGTAAGTAGCCTTTTTGTTTCTATAGCTTCACGCCCCCTACCCTATGGTAAAGAAGAGGAACTAAGAGCAACTCCAGCATTAGAGCCTCCCCCCAGGCAATGCACTATTCAATCCACCTAATGAACAGTAAATAGCACTGACAATCAGCATTTGTATCTCCACCTGTTACACTTCAAATAGCCCTGGCAATAGACAATAAAATATTAGTATTTTATTTATTTATAAAATAATACAAAATAATTTTAATTGTAATATCGGATAAGATTTTTAATCGTTCTCGTTGCGCCACGTGTCATTATCCGAAGTATTATTAAATAATACAAAATAATTTTATTTGTAATTTCGGATAAGATTTTTAATCGTTGTCGTTACGCCACTTATCATAAAAAGGAATGTGATTGAAAGTAGTTAAGAAAATATGAAATTGTTGTGTAAGATAAATGATAATGAGAAGGTATTTATAGAAAAGTAAAAACAATTTTTTTAGAGTTTTAAGATTTTTTCAGATTTTTCAGATTTTTCAGACTTTTTAGATTTTTTTTTTTTGAATTTTTTACAATTTTTTAAAATTTTTTATTCAATTAATTAATCTTTGCCGTTGGATATAAAAAAAATTTGAATTCCAACACTCCAGATTGTGCCACGTGTCACAACGGTAACTTTTCTTAATTTTAAAACTATTTTTTCTTTTATTTTTTATTTACAAAGCATATTAATATCCACCGTTGATCTCAGATCGAACGGTGGATATTAAATAAGACTTTTTTATTTTTTTTGACCGTTGAAATCGAACGGTCCAAATTAAATAACTGTTGAGATCTAACGGACCGTGGGAAGTCACGTGGCTTCCCAACAGTAACTGACAAAGCTTTTTTTTTTCCTTCTGATTTTGTGTCGACGATGCGCCCCCACGCGCCAGTGGGGTGCACGCGCCTGACACAAAAAAAATAAAATATTGCCTGACGCCAGGCTGACGTCACATGGCCTCAGGCTCTCGGTTTAGCAATTCCCAAGGGCCCGGAGCTCGGGCCTCCACCTTCCCTCGGGCTTGCCCACGCTAGGAGCTGATCCACCGGGCCTCGAGCCCTTGTTTTCTCCCCTGTCCCCCGAGCTTGCAGCCCACGCTGGGCTTGCTCTAAGGGGTTTACAGGTACTATATTTCGGCTTATAGAGCTTCTTTTTAGCCCTATGCTAAAGCAAAGCCCTATCCCGCCTATGCCTATGCCTCAAGTAAATAAATAAGCTAATAGCAACTGCGCGTTGTAGCCGTTTTTGATTGAAAGGTAGCTGTAGCTTCAAAGCCAAAGAGGAAGTTTCTTCTGATTTTAAGGGTTCCGCTGTAGCAGCAAAGAAGAAGGCAATTTCTGCTGCTAAAATAAGATAAGTTTCAATACCAAAGGAGTGAACTTCACTATAAAGGCTATAGAAGTGCATCACTAGTTTATATAAAATGAAGGAAATGAAAAAGGTTATTCATAGTATATAGAACGCCTAATAGAATTAGGCAAGGAGAATCGCTACAATAAAAAAACCTTGCCAGATGAAAAAAATTTGTCAGCTCAAAGCTGATTTTGTCGTCGTAGCCTTTAGCCGATGGAGGTTCATCGGGAAAGATTAGTCGAGCAAAACCCATTGCACGAAGCTTAAAACGACAAAATACAAGTCCGTCGGGCAAAACTGAGTTAGCCCGACTAATATACTTGTTGGCGAACGTGCATTGATTGAATTGAGCTGACGAAATCTTCTTGCCCAACAAGAGTATCTCGTCGGCCAGCAAAAAAAAATGTAATAAACTTTACCCGACAAAAAAGTCATCGAGCCAACTCTATGAAACCAAAAATTAAAAATAAGATAAATTTTGTGCGACAAGCCAACAAAATTGGAGCTAAAACGACTTAAATCGTGATTTTTCATATCTAACTGTTAATTGATTTCGTCCTGTTACCTAACCTCCGAATGTGTTTTTGGGTAATTTTTTGCCTACAAGATCTCGAAGTATATGCAAGCATGTTTGACGGTAAGATCGTGAAAACTAGTTTCGTATAATGTTTGTCCCGTCAAAAGAATGGATTTCAAAACACTTAAAAGTTTACTTTATACTTCCATTAAGTAGAATGTAAGCTTTTGTTGTATCCATTAAACCAAAGCACTAGTCCTTCTTGACTATATCGTGACACTTTTTAAATATTTGTAAAAAATTTAACAAAAATAGAGCTAAAACGACCGTTAAATCGTGATTTTTCGTGTTTAACTGTCGAATGATTTTGTCTCACTACTTAATCTCCGAATGTTTTTATTGGATGATTCTTGGGGTAGGAGATCTTGAAGTATATGCAAACACATTTTATCCCTTACAACCTCTAATTCTAATTTTACCATTGCAAATCATATGTATGCGCGCTACGAACCCCCACCAACAATTGGCTACCACGCTCTAATTCTAATTTTACCATTGCAAATCTTATGTATGCGTACGAACCCCCACAAACAATTGGCTACAACGCTCCTTCCTCTTCTCGCCCTCACTCTTTTAATTTTATCACCAATACTACTGCTTAAAACTCAAGAAAAAAAGCTATTCTGATATATGCAGCAGCCACGCAAAAACCTCACGCAACACCTAAATTTATAACGCACAGTGCTGAGATTTCTTTTTGTGCAGATAAAACCAAATGTGAGGATAAGCATGCACATGATAAGTTTAAATTTAAATACACTTGAAATTATCAACTTGATAAATGTACAAAAAATATCAAATTAACTCAACGTTGATGGCTCTTTCCTTCTTGGGTCGAATGTGGGCGGTGTAGGAGGGGTATTTCGTGATGAAGCCGGTAGCTATGCTGGAGGTTTTGTTTGCCAATACCATCTGCATCGAGCCCTACTATGGTGGAGTTTCTGGTAGTTCGTGAGGGGATTCGTTGCGTAGTGGAAAGGAACTTGGATCGAGTTATTGTGGAGCGTGACTCATTGTAGGTGGTTCAAGCTATTGGTAGCCGATTCCAGGGGTTTTCTTTCATGAATCTTCTAGTGGAGGACATTCGTGCTAGTTTACGAACTTTTGTGGCTTTGCAGGTTTGTTATGTGCGCCGTTCTGCTAATGTTGCAGCACATGTATGGCCAAATTGGTTGTGTCTTATCCTATTGAGTTTTGTTGGTTTGAGGAACCTCCGGATTTGATTATGGAGGCCCTTGATGTTGATTGACTTATGATTATCCAATAAATGCTATCGTTTCTCTTAAAAAAATTAAAAATTAAAACATTTAAAAAAATTAAAAAATTAAAAAAAAAAAAAAATTAGCTGCTACTTAACTTTCATATAACATGCCAACTAGACTTGGCATTCGTGTCGTGTTTTCTGTGTTCATGTCGTTTTCGTATCATACCCAATATCTTAATAGGTCGTGTCGTGTAACACCCGTTAAAGTAAATGGGTAATATGACCCGACCCAAAATCGGCCTGTTAATATTATAAAGTAATATGACCTTCTCCGTTACCCGTTAAAAGAAAATATATTTTAAATCAATAAAAATGAAAATGAAAAACATAATTTGACCCAAAAAAATAGAGAACATAATACTAAATTAGTATATGCATATCACATTGTCACATAAATATTACTTCAACATATAAAAAAAACATTTGTCTTTCAAGTATTATATATTCCAAAATAAAAGCCTAATAAAAAAACATTAGTACATTACTATAAAATACCAAATGTTCAAGGATGTGCAAAATAAAGAGAGTTGTGTTTCAAGGTTGAGGAACCTTGCCCGTTTATATATGCTTGCACGTTTATATATGCTTTCACATTATATGCTTTCATATTTTAGACTTGTACATTAAAGATTATGAATTTTATTTATTTTGAACTCTCTTAAAAATACTATTTATGAGGGTTTGTATGGTTTTAAAAATTCATATGACGATGTACCGATACTCATAGCGTAGAGGACGATCACGAGTCTTTGCATATTTTTTTTCACATTTTTTGCACTTGTAAATTAATTATTATAATTTTTTTAATGTGTTTGGTACTTTTAAATTACTTGATACTTTTATTTTTAATATGTTTTTATAATTTTTTTTAATCTCACTCTTTGCCGATAGTATACTATACAATTAAAACTTAATTTTTTAAAATTTATATAGAATAATAATACAACAACACATATTTAATCTACAATATATACATATACACTATGGCTATTGTACTTTATAGTAAGTTTTTCTAGTAGTTTAAAAAATTAAAATCATCAAAATAACTTTTTTCTTAACGTATCAAAACAGGTTACTCACATGTCACCTTTGTGTAAACCTATTAAGGACCCGTTATTAACGGGTTCTTATCAAGTGACCTGATTAATTATTGTGTCGTGTTAACAGGTCTTGTAAAAAATTGTCAGGTCTAATGACAACTAAAAGATATATTGGGCTGCTCCAAAAATATTCCAACCACTTAACATTAAGCCAAAATCAAATCAAGTTAAATACCAAGTAAGATCTACCTATTTGAATGCATGTGCTTGACATACTTACTGAGTGGATGTTTCTGAAACACTTGACATTATTGTGATCAAGAGCACGAGAGACAAATTTAGACTAAAATAATTACAACCGAAAACATGCACTAGTCTAAGAATTACAAACTCAAACATTTTGTTAAGAATTACCAATTTTACTCTAACAATACATATATAAAAATGTTCAACAGCTTAATTGTCTAACTTAATAATTCATTCTCAATCTCACAAAAAATGTTACTTGAATGAGAAGTATATAAAGGTTGACTGTACAAGCATATAATTTAAATTTTATATTAACGGGGGAGATCATCAGAAATTGTTAAACTATTGATGGTGCAACTATTAGCAGCTATTTGATCCTGATTATTTCCAGATCTTCCTGTAAAAAATGCAGGTCGCTCAGGTTTGGAAAGACTAATAGTTTCAGTTTTCAACATTAAAACGATTGATGACATGGTCGGCCTCCTGTTTGCATCCTCTTGAACACACAGTAGTCCAATGTGGATGTATCTCAAAAATTCATCTGGCCGACATGAATCTTTCGACAAAATTGGATCCATCAAATCCAACCCTTTTCCTTCATTCCATAATTGCCAAACCTGTAAAACAATAATTTTTAAGGATGCAAGTATATAGAAAAAAAGTATACTAATCTTTGATAGCTTAGCCAAATAATAATTTGGAAATTATGATGTATGTATAAATAATTCTTATATATCCCAAGTTATTAAATACTTACACGTGCTATAAGTGTAGGAAGAGGGCAGTCAAAACCTAAAAAATTCTTTCGCCCCGTGGTGATCTCAAGCAGGAGTACACCGAAGCTAAAGACGTCTGATTTTACCGAATATAAACCTTCTAGTGCATATTCTGGAGCCATATAACCACTGCATGTCCAAAATTAATGCATTGAGTCTTTTTAGTTAGAAAAAACAAATATTTTTGGGGTGAGCCTACGATACCATACTAAAAATAAAAGGTATTGGTACCCTTTATTAACGTTAATATTGTAATTCATTAATATTCAACTATATTATACTACCTTAATAGTTTAATCTAACTTCCACATCGTAAAAGGCAACCTTGTTAATCTAACCTTGGTAATTTTAATGTTAATGAATAAACAAAATTAATCTCTTTCGACAAAAATAAATAAATAAATAAATAAATAAAATTAATCAATGGTATAAGATAATTCATTGAACTTAATCTATGATCTAAGGTAATCCTTAACGCTTAGAGTTAAGATTATTCCTTGAACTTAATAAATGGTTTATGATGGCCACTCAGTACTACGGTTTGAATCTCGTGAATGACAAATTCGATAGCAAATTAGGCTGCCCATTGTGTGGTTTAGCTGAACTCTCCCTCCCCCTAGTGTAAAAATATCAATATACTAAAAAATAAATAAATGGTCTATGATAATCCTAAAATACTATTATATTAAATAATACCGATATCTTATATTTTTCAATGCGGTACCATAAAATCCTACTATTTTTTATATGAAGATATATAAGTTAAAACTTAAATATGATCGAAGGATATATAAATTGAAACTTACAGAGTTCCAACAGGTCTTTTGGTATTTCCTTGAGTTTGACCATCAACTCCAAACATTTTAGCCATCCCAAAATCAGATATTTTTGGATTCATTTCGCCGTCTAACAAGATGTTGCTAGCTTTTAAATCACGATGTATAACTCTAAGCCTAGAATCTTCATGAAGGTATAAAATTCCTCGAGCGATTCCTCCTATTATCATGCAACGTCTTGACCAATCCAGCTGCTCTCGTTTTCTAGGTTCTGCATGCGGTAACATTTATCAAAGACAAGTCGTTATACTGAGTCAGAATTTACAGCCAATTATATATACATACACATATATATATATATGTGTGTGTGTGTGTGTGTGTGTGTGTGTATTGTTATTAACGAAGGAAAATCTATGGTCAAATGAGAGTCACAAACCAAATAGAAAATGATCAAGACTTTTGTTTGGTACATATTCATAGACGAGTAAGGTTTCTTCTCCTTCCAAGCAAAATCCAAGAAGTCTTACAAGATTTCTGTGTTGAAGTTTGGCTACCAATACAACCTCATTTTGAAATTCTTGAACACCTTGTGTGGAGCTTTTCGATAGCCGTTTTACTGCTATTTCATGTCCATCACCAAGTGTTCCCTACAATATGTAATATTGAACTAAGCAGAGTAAGTGTTGGAAATACTATTAATTATGGGATGGTGCTATCCACACACCTCTTTTCACCTTTTACACACCCTTCTCAATTTTCTGTCTTTTGATCGAATGAATTAAAAAAAATTAAAAAATAGAAATTAACAAGGGGTGTGTGAATAGCACCATCCTTAATTATGTGGTGCAATATGTAATTAGATAGGACACTGTTGTATGTAAATCATAAGCCTATAAATAGGCACTCCAATGAGGAAAAAAAATTGAAAACTTAGTATCTAATTCCTAGTTACTATTGTTCATTGACTGAGACATTATTAGTTTTTAGATTTTGATCAAAGTCCCTAACATTAATGTATTAAACAATTTACATGTCAGTTGCATAATTTTTTAAAATAAAATTAGTAATTGATTTAGGGTTTTAATACTCACAACCTTATTAAACTTCTAATTAATTTCAATTCAAAACATTTCCAAAATTTAAAAAAGTAAAAAAAAAAAAAATAGAATAAGTTTGTACCCATTAAACGTTTATAAAAAGATTTTCAATTTTTTAATCTTAAATGTACCCATTTATATAATTTTTTCAATTTTTTCTAATATTAAATGTATCCATTCTTAAATATATCAATTTGTTATTTGTAAAATGTACCTTTTTTAATATAAAATGCACCCATATTTTTTTTTATATAAAATCCATTCAATTTTTTTTTCTTTCTAATCAATATCATGGGCACACTCTATTTCATTGATTTGAGAATGTATCCATGTCAAGTTTAATGCAAAAAAAATTAATATGGTAATCAAGCCTAATATATTATTATTTTTGTGGTTTTGAAAAATGTACCCATGTTTTGGTACAATAGTTTTTTGGTTTTGATGAATGTACCCATGTTTATGTATATTGGGTATATATACAATATATGTTAGAGAGTATAATTTATCCTTTAATATTTTTAATCCTATAAATGATGGGTTTTACTTAAAATCTCATTGATATAAACAACTACAAGTTTCAGATTTTAATTTAAAAAATAATAGCCTACATGAAAATACATTATTACATTAATGTCAGGATTTCGATCAAAAACTGAAAATTATCAAGATTTCAATCAAAGAACATTGGTAGTTAAGAACCGCATAAAAAAACAAACAGGTCTTACATTAAAAAATGGGTACACTTTAGATTACAAAAATAAATAGGTCTCACATTAAAAAAAATAGGTACATATTACATAAAAAATTGATACTTACAAAAACAAAAAGTGGTACATTTTACACATAACAAAGTGGAACATTTTTAAAGACAAATGGGTACATTATTAATAAATTATTTTTACAAATAAAAGGTTAAAAATACTGAGTACAAATAAAAGTTTGAAAAACATGGACACAAAAAGAAATTAATATATGGGTACAAACTAAAAATAAATATATATGATACAAAATTTAGCCGTAAACATATATATATATATCAAATGTAATGTTTCTAACACTAAATGAATATATTTAGAATAAAATTTAATTATTTAATTATCTTGACATGTAAAATATTTTATTATTGAAATAAATAATGATGTTTATTAAAACCAAGGGACCTTGATAAAAATTAAAAAGGAATAAGGTTTTAATCAATGGAGTTGAAAAAAGAAGGATGAGAACCTAATTTCTCCTATTTTCATACATTTTGATGCTTAAACAATCACATCCTTCACTAATTTTTCATAAAAATAATTTTTCACATAGCCATTATCACGAACTATTTTTGTGTAGAAATTCTTCCATAAGTTTGTGGAGCAAAGTATCTCATGCAAATAAATAGTTTTTTATTTTAACTATGCAAATAAATATTTTTATACCTTGAAAACTGCACCAAATCCTCCTTCACCTAGTTTGTTATCATCTGAAAACTTGTTCGTGGCAGTTTCAATGGTTCCCAATCTAAATTGCAATGACTCGACAGTCTTCATGTCATTACCAACTACAAATATTGATTAAAAGATTAGATCTATTAACTAAAACATTTATCAAGAAATTGAAGTAAAATATAATATGCCGGCCGCGTCTAATGACTAAATACTTTTCAAATTTATTTATTTATGACCTTTCTTCTTTCGTCGTTTGGAGTGGTATCTATCTTTGACTGCTCTGAGTCTCTTGCGGAAGAAGCATCCGGTAACAAACACAACTAAAACACAAAAAGCAAAAGAGCCAAGAGTACTGACGATGATTATCGTCGAGGAGGGTTTGCTTCTTCCTGTATGAATACAAAATTATAATAAATATATATCTCTGAGCCGGCTTGACAACATAATGGTACGAAATAATACTTGTATTATAGGTATAAATAATCAAAGACCCAATCGATTTTTAAAGGAGAATATAAAAATGAAAGGTTCATATTATTATGTCATGAGATGAAACTCAACACGGTGATTAATTTGTGGCATATGTCATTATATACGAGGGTAGCAATTTTATCGTTCACAAGAATTGTAGAAAGCTTGAAGGATATCATCATTTACCAGATTTGTTTGTCGGCAAGGTTGGTGGCGAAGGCTGCGACGGACTAGGGCTGGATTCTTGGTAGAAGGGCCGCATTTCAAACCTCATATTACAACTGTCATATAGAACTCGTCCCCCTTGCTTTGCATCACAGCAACTGGGCGCTAACCACTTTTTCCCTTCTTCAAGGCACGCATTACAATCGGCAGCGGACAAGTCCGGCCTGCACTGCGCAAGGCTGTACACGGTAAAATAAAGCTTGTTTACCGCCGTAAAATGCACTTCTTCCGTGGCAAACCTGTCAATTGCATTGGCAGCCTTGGGGACTAAGCTTCCCAAAGTAGCCGCCAATACCCCGTTGAGCTGAGCTAGTTGCTGCACGTATTGGGACACGTTCCCCTCACTCCAAATTACAAGGACAGGCGAGGTGGCAGCCGCCCAGGATGAGAAGGGCTTGTTTGAGTAGCTTAGCGTGCAATTGTCATACGATATCAGCGCCTCTTGGCTGTCCGGGCAGAGTAGGAGTGCCTGCGAGGTTGCGTTTACCACGCATTCTTTGCAAGCATTGGCCGAGACGTCCCGGCGGCAGAGAAAGAGGCCGTAGGCTGGGCCCACGGTGGTGGCGTTGTAAAAGCCGGTGGCGTCACGGTTGGCGTTGGAGGAAAGGTTGGAGAGGAGTTGGTTGAGATAGGATTTGAAGGAGGTGGCAGTGGAGTTTGGGGCCAAACTAGTTGAGCAGTTATGGCTGCTGTCTGCAGCATCTGTGGTAGTACTGGCCAATGCAATAAGAAGTAAGGAGAGAAAGTAGAAAGGGGTCATGTCACAATGCATGTAAAAAACCAAAGGATTTTGATACTACGATTAATTTGTTCAAGTGATCTACTAAAATATCAAAGTTCTAAGTTTATGACAATGTTAGTATTGCACAAGATGCTTGACTTTTCTGAGTCAACATCTGAAACAGTCCGGAAATTTACTGATGAGAATTAATGGTTCTCCGTACTTCTAGGATCACTAGTGGAAAGACTTTGGCAATAAATTGATTAGGATAATACTTGCATTCCTCATTGCTAACGTATCTTGATTGAATAATTTTATAATTGAATTCGTTTATTTCTTAATCATTATTTGAGATCATTTTTACAAAAAATTATTTCAATCAGAGATCATTTGATCATTCAAATGTATAGAATAAATTGACGATATCAATATTAAGTAATATGTTCATGATAAACTGTCCATTTACTTTACAAATTTAGCTGAATAAATGATTTCAATTCGAATGAATCTGCATTGGGTTTTTTTTTTTATGGACAAAATGAATCTGTATTGGTTTGATCTTCAAATGAATCTTTATGACAATGCCAATATTGCACCCGATGCTTCACTGTTCTGAGTCTACATCTGAAACAGTCCGGAAATTAACCGACGAGATTTAATGATTCTATATACTTCTACAATCAACCAGTGGAAAGACTTGGCAATAAATAGATTAGGATAATACTTACATTCCAGCTTGCTGAAGGATCTTTATCGACATCGTACACATTTTATAATTAGAATTGTTTAATTTTTAAATTTTTATTCGAATATCACTTTTATAAAATAAAATAAAAAACTATTTTAATAAGATATTATTTAGTCATTTAAATGTATAGAATAAATTGACTATATTGGTATCAAGTAATATGTTCGTGATATACCGTCCACTTATTTTATAAGTTTGGATAAATAAGTGATATCCAATTCGAATGAATTTGTATAGGATTGATCTTCAAATGAAGATTAATGAATTGAATGGTTCCGATCGTTGATTTTATTTGGAAGATACGTCTTGGTTGAAGGGTCACATTTCAAACCTCATATTACAACTGGCATATAGAACTCGTCCCCCTTGCTTTGCGTCACAGCAACTAGGCGCTAACTGCGTTTTCCCTTCTTCAAGGCACGCATTACAATCGGCAGCGGACAAGTCCGGCCTGCACTGCGCAAGGCTGTACACGGTAAAAGAAATCAGGTTTGCCATAAAAGGCCCTTCTTCCGTGGCAAACCTGTCAGTTGCATTGGCAGCCTTGGGGACTAAGCTTCCCAAAGTAGCCGCCAATACCTCGGTGAGCTGAGCTGGTTGCTCCACGTATCGGGACACGTTCAGCTCACTCCAAATTACAAGGACAGGCGAGGTGGCAGCCGCCCAGGATGAGAAGGGCTTGTTTGAGTAGCTTAGCGTGCAATCGTCATACGATATCAGCGCCTCTTGGCTGTCCGGGCAGAGTAGGAGTGCCTTCGAGGTTGCGTTTACCACGCATTCTTTGCAAACATTGGCCGAGACGTCCCGGCGGCAAAGAAAGAGGCCGTAGGCTGGGCCCACGGTGGTGGCATTGTAAGCCGGTGGCATCGCGGTTGGCGTTGGAGGAAAGGTTGGAGAGGAGTTGGTTGAGATAGGATTTGAAGGAGGTGGCAGTGGAGTTTGGGGCCAAACTAGTTGAGCAGTTATGGCCGGCGTATGCAGCATCTGTGGTAGTACTGGCCAATGCAATAAGAAGTAAGGAGAGAAAGTAGAAAGGGGTCATGTCACAATGCATGGAAAAAACCAAGGGATTTTGATAATACGATTAATTTGTTCAAGTGATCTATTAAAATATCAAAGTTCTAAGTTTATGACAATGTTAATATTGCACACGATGCTTGACTTTTCTGAGTCAACATCTGAAACAGTCCGGAGATTTACCGATGAGAAATAATGGTTCTACGTACTTCTAGAATCAACTAGTGGAAGGACTTTGGCAATAAATTGATTAGAATAATACTTGCAATCCTCATTGCTAACGATCGTATAATTTTATAATTGAATTCGTTTATTTTTTAATCATTATTTGAGACCGTTTTTACAAAAAATTATTTCAATCGGAGATCATTTGATTATTTAAATGTATAAAATAAATTGACTATATCAATATTAACCGACGAGATTTAATGGTTCTACGTACGTCTACAATCAACCAGTGGAAAGACTTGGCAATAAATTGATTAGGATAATACTTAAATTCCAGCTTGCTGAAGTATCTTGATCGACATCGTACACATTTTATAATTAGAATAGTTTAATTTTTAAATTTTTATTTGAATATCACTTTTATAAAAATAAAAATAAAAACTATTTTAATAAGAGATTATTTACTTATTTAAATGTATAGAATAAATTGACTATATTGGTATCAAGTAATATGTTCGTGATATACTGTCCACTTATTTGATAAGTTTGGATAAATAAATGATTTCTAATTCGAATGAATTTGCATAGGATTGATCTTCAAATGAAGATTAATGAATTGAATGGTTCCGATCGTTGATTTTATTCAGAAGATACGTTATTCGCAAATGAGAGAATATGTGTATCCCCAAAAACTCCCCCAAAATTTTCATTTCTTGCCCCTATTTCCCCTCAGTTGGTTTGACAACATGGCTGGCCAAGAATGGCCGGGCCACGCATAATTTTGTTTTCCACAAGAAAATGTCCATAATTAATATTGGAGCGTTTTAATATAGACATCTCGTTTTTTAATTTTTTAGACTAAATATACACTCTTTTTGAAAATTTGATCAAACATTTTCCTAAAATTTTGGTTATTAATTTCAGTTTTTCACCTGAGTTCAATTTTGTTTAGAATTTTAGTTTTTCACAACTTCTCGTGGGCACTTTGTTTTCTTTTTTCTTTCTTTTCCTATTATCCCTATATTTATGCATTTATTATCCATCTCTATGGATTTTTTTTTATTGTTTGTTATAATTTTTACTTTTTATTTTTGTGTGAATATAGTAGATTCATAATAATAAACGTATAAATGTGAAGGAAAAAAAAAAAACAAAAAACAAAAAATTATGGGTACGTTTGGGATCGCATGTCTTCGACGACGGTTAGATGGTGATATGGCTTTACTGAGACCCTCTGAACAATGTTTTTCCTATGACTTCCAAAAAATTAGGAAAAATGTAAAATTAATTTAGAAATGTGAAAAATATGAAAAATAAGAAGTTATAGATAGGCCCGTTACGAAAAGGCTACAAATTTTGTGAATGAGTCAAATTCAAAACAGATGCCCACAATAAAAAAATGTTAGCGACAAAATCTAACAGTTGGGATGTCGTTTGCGTTTTAAATTAAATTGTTATCACCAGACGCCGTTCTCAGAGTTTTTGATTGAATAAGATGAACGGTTTAGATCGTTGGCATCATTTTTCAGTTTGTAAGGTTAATGCAAATATTGCTCAATGTTCTATGATGTCTAGAGAGTTTATAAACATCGAGCAATAGCACTAATTGTAAGGGCGAAACATGATATGAACTATCCAAGTTGTTCAATTTTTTCAATCAACTAGAAGATTATGTTTTGAAAAAAGAAACTTTGAAAAATGCTTTCCCGTGATTAAAAACTTGAGGATAGATGTAATCGACAATCGGACAATTAGAGTTTGTCAGTAATAGAAATGAATTTTGTGTCGAGATTTGAAGGAGAATCCTTCACAAAAGTTGCAGCCCTTATCATTACTAGCGTTTCCATAATTTTTTATACTTTCCAAAATTGCAAATTAATAATTACATTTAAAAAAAAAAAATTGGAAGTCACAAGAAAAACACTATTCATGAGGGTTTCAAGGCTTCAAAGTTCTAATTAACATCTAATCATCATTAAAGCATAGGGGATCTGACCACGAGCATTTTCATATTTTTTACACTTGTAAATTAAGGGGTGTGATATCCACACACCCCTTTTTACTTCTCCCACACATTTTAAGTTTTCGGCCGTTGGATTGGATGAATTGAAGAAGATCAATGGACAAAACTTAATAAGTGTGTGTGAGGAGTAATAAGGGGTGTTTGGATAGCACACCCCTAAATTAATTATGTGACATCCCACATCGCCCAGGGGAGTGATCCTTAAATATATATTCCCATCTCTACCTAGCACGAGGCATTTTGGGAGCTCACTTGCTTCGGGTTCCGTAGGAACTCCGAAGTTAAGCGAGAAGGGGGCTAGAGCACTCCCATGATGGGTGACCTATTGGGAAGTTCTCGTGTGAGTTCCTAGAAACAAAACCGTGAGGGCGTAGTCGGGGCCCAAAGTGGATAATATCATGTTACGGTGGTGGAGTGGGCCCGGGAAGTGGTCCGCCCCGGATCGGGATGTGACAAATTATTATTAACATTTACACATTTTCAATTCACCCTAAAAACACTATTCACAAGTGTTTGGAGGGTTTTATAAATTTCAATGACGATATAACCATTGTAAAATCATAGGGGATGTGATAACGAGCGTTTTCATGTTTTTAAAAATTCATAAAATTAATTTACAAGCGAAAAAATTCTGTAAATTTATGGAAACGCTTATGGTCACATCCATTATGCTTTGATGATGATTAGATCATCAATTAGATTTTTTAAAGTGTTTTCTTTGACTTCTAACTTTTTTAAATGTATAATTAATTTACAATTGTGAAAAATTATGGAAACGCACATAATGACAATGGTTACAACTTTCATGAAGAAATTTTCTCCAAATCTAAACACAAAAATCAATTTTCGTTACTGACAAACCCTAAATTTTCATCACCGAAAAGCATTTTTCGGAGTTTTTTTTTTTTTTTTTCAAAACATAATCTTCTAGTGCAATTGTTGCTCGATGTTTATAAACACTCTAGACACTATAGAACATCGAGCAATATTTGCACTACCCTTAAAAATCGAAAAATATTGTTAGCTATGACAATCCGTCCCTAATTTTACGATTTAATAAATTTTAAAAGAGTGAATTGACGAAAATGTCCTTGAGGCGAGGTTGCTGACTTTTATT